TTTTTCTAGAGTCAAATAATTAAGCAGATATTGATAAAAATGTATGCATATGGATCTCATTTTATAGATCGCGTTAATTTACGTAAACGAGGCTCGAGTAAAATTTATTTTGATCAAAATATAAATAAAACTCATGTTATCATTTTTTTTTATTTCCTTTGCATCGATTGGTTATATGCTTAAACACACGGGTTTTGAATACATACAAAAAATTTATCAACTTGTTATTCATCAAGTCAAGGTAAAAGAAAACTTTGTTTTTCAAGTTCTTAGCAAAATTCAGATTTTTAATTTAGGTAACATACTTAGTGCAGTGGTTAAATTTTTATTCTTCGTGATATACATACTTAGTGCAGTGGTTAAATTTTTATTCTTCATGATATTTATATATTGATTTCATTTAATGCCTTAAAACTGCAATGTCGATCTCTATATTAAATCATACGGAATAGACCGTCGATCCAATCATGTTAAATCCTTCAGGATGTGGGAATTCTAAAGAAAATCTCCTTGAGCTACCTGTCATCACAATCTATCACTCTAAATTTAAGAATGACGTGTATGAAATGTTTCATTTATATTTATGTCATGTTGAATACAAATTTGCACATATCTTACTTGAGTGTTTTATTCAAAAATATTCACTTTTACAAAATTTCAGATTAGAACGAGCCGTGCAGGACGCGTGGAAGATTGGACGAATGAATGCTCATAGGTTGCCGAGTAAACATGATTTTAAGCACATTTATGGCTAAAATTTTATTTAGTAAATTTTAAACTTACTACTTGGATATCAGTTAGGAGTTTTAACATTTATGTTTTATTTGTATTTCGTTTAAACGGCGATTGAATGATGTTATTTAAATATTATGAGACTTTTTCTCTGAATCAATTGTGTAAAATTTTTCACTCCACTTTCCATTACAATGAAAACTATATATTTTTTTCCCAGAACGGGAAATCATACAAGTATGTTATTTTTTTTCTTTGCTTAAAAAAAATATTATAATAAATCAATAAGAATTTTGGTAACACTTTGAATTTTTTTTTAAAATTTTTAAAAAATTGGGGCTTTCCATCAATGTATAAATCTAGAAATGGGGCTAGAAGATAAAAATTGGATGAAAAGAAACCACATAATATTCGATAAATCAATCGACTCAACTGAAATCGATGAATTGAGTACGGTTTTCACGGGTTCGACAATTGATTTTTGTCAAAAATAAGAGAGAAAAAGAGTACATGAAATGCATAATAACAAAGCTTTGCTGCCATTTCACTGGTTGCCCAATAGTCACCATAGTCCCACGTCGAAGTCTTTGTGCTCGATTTCAATCAAAATATATAAAATTCAAACTAATTTTACAAAGAAATTAAAACATGTAGTACAAATATATATACATATACATATATTTGCATGAATGAGAGAGAAAGAGAGAGTATTGGAAAGAAATAGCACATTTGGATATGAAGCTAAGGATTAAAATGAAAATGGTAGGGGGTCTGGATATATGGGATGAAGATGGTTTGTCTATGTATTGTTAAAGTAGTTTTGGGCCCATTTTGTTATCATTGGTGTTAAATGGCTCCATAAATAATATTGGTTAACTAATGGATTTTAGAATATTATTTTAATTAATAGAATTTTTTAACTATGTTTGTAAATCTATATTTAATTGATTATTTAGTTATTTTAGTTTACGGATGAATCCCAATTTAACCTCGATTTGAACATCTGAACCTTCACCATTTAACTTTATCGAATCATAGTCGGGCCAATTCTCAAAACATTGCTAAAAAAAGGTTTGGACAAACAACCAAATTTTGATGAAAAATGTCCAATCTCCCCCTTTTTCACAAAAATAAATAAATAATAATAATAAATTGCAAAAAAATTAAAAAAAGTGTTGTTTATATTATAGAGGAAATTTCACAAAATGTTCACTTTTTTTGTGTCCATTTGCAAAAATGTCCATTTTGAAAGAACTTAGACCAAAATACCTTTGTTAACAATTTATAATTCCACATAAACTCA